CACGTGGATGAGTGCGTGGAGTTCCACAGGCTGTGGAGTGCCATGCAGTTCGTGTACTGCATTCCCGTGGGGACGCATGAGTTCACGGTGGAGTAAGTGTGTGGTGTGCTGGGGAGGGCAGGTCGGGGGAACGGACACAGAAGTAGGGCTGAGATCCTGGGAAGGGATCAGACACGCACCAAGCTGCTTCAGTGCCACAGAAAGTGGGGCTTCTTCCTTGACACCAAGGAGAGGACCTAGGAGTAGCATCCTGGAACCCCTGAACACAGATCGGGGCTGCACGTTTCTGGGCAGGGGGTCCATAATGTCATTCTGCCCCTGTGGACTTACAAAAGTAGGAAGCAGCATGCCCGAGCTCAGAAACTACCAAAGCCCACAAATCACCTGCTCAGGGTGCTGCTTCAGGCTGTGGATGGCAGTGGGAGGGCCTGCAGGACGTTCTCCTGAGTGTCCGTGTGAACGCTGTGTGCTCTTGCTCTTAGGCAGTGTTTTGGCGATGGGCTGCACTGGGCCGGCTGCATGATCATCGTGCTGCTCGGGCAGCAGCGGCGCTTTGCAGTGCTGGATTTCTGCTACCATCTCCTCAAAGTACAGAAGCATGATGGCAAGGATGAGATCATCAAAAACGTGGTATGTTCCCCTGGCTAAGAGGTTCACGGGTGGGTATCTTTCACTGTGACAGTAAGGTTTTACCAACTGAAAGGTTTCCATCACTCAAGTGAACCTAAACATAACTGGCAAGTGACATTTTGGCAGTTTAAAAAACAAAACAGCCAGGGATATAGCTCAGTGGCACAAGCGCCTGCCTGGCAAGCACAAGGTCCAAAGTTCAATTCTGGCACCAAAACAAACAAACAAACAAACAGCCCTGCCGTTTTCTTTTTTCCTCAGCGTGCTCAGCCCGACTTGCCTTGTGCACAGATTATTGTAAATTCTTTGTCTTCTGTCACCTTGGACTGCTTAGAGCTGAACAGTAGAAAATACCGCTCCTGGTAGTCTGAAATGGTCTCCAGGAATCCTGTCACCTGCCTTCTGTTTCTGTGGTTTGGGACTCTGGTTAGACGCTAGCCCTGCGACTCTCCCCTGCCATCAGCTCTCTCACTGCGCGGCCGTAGCATCAGCAGGGGCTCAGTGGTGGGAACGCCAGCGAGACTCACTCTGAATTGCACTGCACCTGGCCGGTCCACTCACCCTCACAAGCCACCGTGCGCCCGGCGGTGGTGCTGCATCTGCCCTGGAGCCTCAGCAAGACTCGGCTTCACCCTTGTGGAGCAAGGTGGCTGATTTCGGATCCTTGTACTTGTAGGAACAAGGTCCCCACTTGCTGCTGGCTGCCAGCCCCGTGGTCTCTTTTGCCTTTCACGCGGTATGGTGGGCCAGGCCCCCTCAGCTTCCAGCATCCCCCAGTGCCGTCTTTCCCTCTACCCTGGGGTGAGGGTGGGTCCTGCTGGGCGGTCCAGGAGGCCTTCTCTTCCTGACTTCCGGTGACAACCTCAGCACATCTACCAAGCATGTTCCGTGAGGCAGGGAGGGCACGGCTGTGCGCGTCTCAGGGCTGCTGTGGCCGCCATGTGCCATCTTCTTAGCTTTCACTGCTTCCAGAGCTCCTTCTTCATCTGTGTCTGCAGGTAACTTACTTGAGCTCTACCTAATCTGCTTTCTAACCCAAAAATTGTGTGTTCATTTTTTTCAACTTAGTTCTTCCAATCTTGGTTGTAACTGAGAATTTAAGTCTTTGAATTCTAGTATTTCCTCAAAAGAACTTACTTCAGATGAGTTTCCTCCCAAGATTTGCCTTGCTCCTGCCTCACTGCCGTGGGCTGGTGCCAGCCTGGGACCACGTTAGCCTCATCCAAGGGGGCCAGCTTTGGCCCGGCCTGTCTCATCCCATCCCAGCACTGCTGTTTTCCGCCTTACCGCCTTCATGGGACCCACCACCAGTGGTTGTAAAAGTTTGTGTTTTAATGCTGTTCTTCAGCCAGACCTATCACAACAGGAAGGCCGGCCAAACCTTCCCACAGCGTTGCCCTCCGGATGTCTAGTTAGCATTGCTGGCTTCCTGGTCTTTCCCTACTGAGCACACCGTCTTCGTCTTTGTAGTCCCAGCGTTGAGCATACAGCAGATCCTTGCTCCGTGGATATTTGTGGAGTGAATATGCTTGTTAGAGTTTGCAAAGCTACTTGTGGAGCAGAGAAATGTATTTAAACTGAAACTGTATTCACTGTTACAGTAGCAGCATTTAAAATACCATACTCCTGTATAGTCCGATGTAGTTTCTCTGAGAAAATATGAAAATCTTAACATTTTGAGTCACAAAGTACCTGTGTAAGGGTTAATAATACAATGCCCTGACCTGTTACAGCCTTTGAAGAAGATGGTTGAGAGGATTCGCAAGTTCCAGATCCTCAACGACGAGATCATCACCATCCTGGACAAGTACCTGAAGGCGGGTGACGGGGAGAGCACCCCGGTGGAGCACGTGCGCTGCTTCCAGCCACCCATCCATCAGTCTCTGGCCAGCAGCTGAGGCGCAGGCCGCCCTGTGGGGCGCCTGATGGCCCATGCTCTTTCTGAAACTGCTTAGTGGGTTCTAGGGACTACTTTTCAGTATCTCTACTTGTTCAAGGGGGTACTTCTGATCTAAAAGTTTATTTTATAAAATTATTTTTCTAGACTAAAATTGTATATGCTTTTGGTAATGAGGAAGTCTGAGAATACTGGCTGCCAAGTGTTGCCATGTTCTTGCAGAATTATTCTCAGGTTTCCTATAGAATTTCCCAGCAACTGGCTACACCATGTGACACAGTTAAGTTCACTCATTTTCTTCCCCTAATAAACTTAATGCCTTTTAATTGTATTAAAATCCTATGCCAAGTACCATTAACTCCATGACTGTTTAGCAGTAGTATAGGGATTTTTCTGGTCTTTTATAAACAATTTTCTAAGTCATTGTCCCTCTTTTGTGCCAGTGTTTTGGAAGATAGTGAACCTGATTCTTTGGTTCCCACTAAATTCAAGTATGATGAAATCTAATTTTGAGGCGTACAGGTTAGAGAAATAAAACTAATGAAACCTATTTGTGTGCATTTATTTATTGCTACTTTTCTTGGCTGGCACAGACAGGTTCATGCCATAATCGAAGTGGCCTCCATGAGGCTGAGGTGGGACAGGCCCGGGACACGTCGGGTTCACCACCACAGACATGTGACTTCCATGCAGACCAGTGAGCCTCAGACTCAGGTATGTGGCCGCTGCACTCTGGACACGGAGGACACTGAGCAGTGCTGCTGTGTCCTTCCACGGCCTAGAGGCTGGCGTGTGGGAAGACTAACTGAGGAACCAAAGTCCTGTCCCAGCGTCTCCCAGTTCTCCTCCCCCACTACCAAGCAAACTGTCTTAGGTGGCTGGGGCTGGCCCACTCGATCTGTCACAGCTAACATGTCAGCCTGTTGTACTTACTAGAATTACAGAAACAGATGAAGATGGCTAAGAATTCAGTGCCAGGTGCAGCTGTGTGGTATATATAGTCCCGGCCAGCATCAAGAGACTGCCTCAAACAGAAACTGCACTACTGGGCTAGGGAACATCAAAGTGCGGGGCTTCAAGGATAGCAGACAGGATAATGCACCATTCTGCAGCACCATCGGGAGGAACTGATGACTCTAAGGCCAGCATTCAGCTATAGATTTGGGGTGGGGTCTATGTTCACCCTCTGCAAACAGAACGAAAGTTATTTTCATTATTGATTAGGTTACCAAGGTAGTGGCATGCCAAGTAAAATACACAGGAAGGGGGCCGGGATTTTTGCTCACTTGCATAAGCGCCTGCCTGGCAAGTGCAAGGTCGCAAGTTAGATCCCCCGTACCTGCCCCCAAACCCAGCTACAAATATAGTGTTAGATAATATAGAGAATCTGTTAGCAGCAGTTATGCATTCTCTGTAAGGGCACTGCCCTCCCCAAGGGGGTGAAAGTTGATTGTATGTACAAAGCAGAAGAGAGACCCAGGACGGAAGCTGGTGAGTGAGGAGCCTGCAATATGAGGACGCGCGGAGAGCTGCCGGCAGGGCTGTGTGTGCGTGCTCACCTGGCCCGCCAAAAGCCTGCTCGGCCTTAGCACCGGAACATTATCTGGGAGGGAGCTGGCAGAAAAGGTTTCTGACACACTCCTCAGAGCACCAACAGCACCTGGAAAAAGATTTCAAAGACTCTGGCTGGCTGGGAAGCCCGTGTGTGAGGCCCATCTCGGAGCGCAGCTCCACCCACGCTCGGTCCTGCGCGCATTTCGGGCCGGGTGGTGCAGAGGGCAGGTGCGTGAGCGGGAGGCGCAGACGGCGACAGGCGGCCTCTGCTCCTGCTGCCCAGGTCAGGACGCTGTCACTAGATGTGTTTCTGAAGGCCAGTGAATGGCTGTAGTAGACAGATTTTGAAGCTGCAATACAGTTCATTACGCTCTTTTTTTTAAACATTTGAAGATTTTCATAAACATTTTCTAAATGAACAAAATGTATGATGTCCAAATGAACTCTTAAGGTACAGAAATGATACTTATACTTCAGCATTTGGGCTTCTATAAGAACTTTGTTTGAATTCTTTATTTTAACATGGATTATCTTAATCATCCCAGGCTCCTGATTTTATTTCCCAGTTGCTAAAAGGTCTCAGTGACAATATAACTCATAAAAATATACTGAAAGGTACAAGAGTTGCTGTAAAGGGGCAGTGAAGGCACCATGGGATTCTGACCGGAGAGTCACCGAGCCCGATGTGAAGGGGGCGACCCTGCCGGGCAGGCCATACTTCTGACTGAGCCGCCAAGGCAGCCTCAGACGCACACAGGAAACGGCCACAAAACCAGACTCTAGGGGCCAAGGAAGTGCTCCTCCACTTGGTTCCCTAGCCTCATGTTTCATGAAGAACTTTCATTTAAAAATGAAGGGTTCCCTTAAAGTAATACTTGAAACTTACACTAATTCATCAAGCAAGAGTCGACTCTACAGGTAACGTAAGTCACAGGATAATGTATTGGGATAATTTTGCTCTTTTTTACAATCAAAAGGCCTGATGTGGCCAGAAAGGGAGGGGTAGGGATGACAAGTGTACACTTCAGACTTTCATCACCAATGAAAAAATAAAGCATTTCTATAGACCTCAAACTGTCATTAATGCATTTAGATTTTGAAGAAAGAATCAAAATGTAAAATGCCTCTACAATAATACAATGTTAATAGAAACTGGCTGTGTACTAAGGTCATTTTAGTAAGCTACCATTGTTTAAATATAGGAAAAGTAATTTCTTGGTCCAAATTAGTGAAACCTTAAAAAAGATTGTCTTTAGAGAACGTCGAGGACACTGCTTTTCCAGACACGTTCTGATATTCAAAATCGGCACTGTCACAGAGCTGCAGACTAACCCTTTAAAATCACGTCCTTCTTAAAAAGCGGTCAGGCTCCCATTTCTCCGGGAGATATTTTCACCAGGGTGCTGTTCAGCGCCACAAGGTAAGCTTTCTTCGTTGTTATTAAGGACTTCATACATATTAGAGAGATTGCCATTCGCTGCTTTTTCATCTTTGCGAAAAGATATGGGCAGACTTGCTAGACTAAAGCTGACGTCTTTAAAGGCATGCAACAAGAATATCCCCACAATGATGGTGAAGAAGCCACTCAGCGTTCCGATGACATCGTCTGTGGGCATGTCCTGCCACTCCTTAAAGAGAATGGCCGAGCAGGTTAAAACCGAGGTGGTGAAGAACACATAGTAGATGGGCGTCACGATGGACGTGTTGAATATGTCCAGCGCCCGGTTCAGGTAGTTGATCTGAGTACTCACGCAGACCACCAGGCTCAGCAGCAGGACCCAGGCCAGCGGGTGCTGCAGCACAGGCCTGCCCGCCACCAGCTCCTTGATGGCGATGCCCAGGCCCTTCACGCAGGAGACTGAGAAGGCACCAATCACGGAGCAGATGGTAATGTACACCAGGATGTTGGTCTGCCCGTGGCGAGGCCCCACCACGAAGATGAGGATCAAGGACACGATGACCACGAGTGTTGCAAAGACCACAAAGCCTGGAGGAAAGGAGTTACCTCCATCAAACATTTGGTGAGATGTTTGTCAACATAGATGATCCAAGCAAAAAAATACAGTGATCTAGACAAGGAGTACAAAAAGTACGCCCCACAATAAAAATTACTTCACATTTCCTGCCACAGAAATCATGGAGCAAGCCTACAATCTCAGCCCTTAGCAGCCTGAGGAGGAGGACTGCTATGAATTTAAAGCCAGCCTGGACTACACAGTTAAAAAGACCAGCCTGAAATAGCTATATGGGGAAACCTTATCTGAAAAAAACAAAACAAAGGAAAGAAATCCTAAGGAGACTAAGACAGTAAGATCCCAGTTTATGGCCAGTCTGGACAACTTAGCAAGCACCCATCTAAAAGTACAAAGGGCTAGGAATACAGCTCAGTGGTAAGGCACAGCCTAGCACAAGGCCCTGTTTCTGACTCCCACTACCCTAAAATAAATAAATAAAATACAAATGTAAGACTAAAAAAAAAAAACAGGCCAGACAATAGCAAGGCTCCCAAAAGACGGAAGATAAAGGCAAAATTGTAAAAATGAGAGGAAAACGATATAAAATAAATGGGCTGGAGATGTAGCTCAGTGGCAGACTACTTGCCCAGTATGCACAAAGCCCTCGGTTCAAGCCCTAGCAGCAAACAAAAAAGGCAAAAAGAAAACCTAGTTCTGGATGCTCAACTGATACAGAGTCGGGCTGCGCGCAGCGGTCCACCCATAGCCCCAGCAGTCTGGGAGTCCAAGGCAGGAGAACTGTAACTCTGAGCCACGCCTGGGCGCCTTGGTGACTGACCACTTGTGCGGATGGTGGTGCTGGGGCTGCCACGCAGGGCAGAGGCCCTGCTTTCAATCCCCAGTACCACCAAAAATAAAGAAAGCAAGAAAGAAAAGCAAAGAAAAAAATCAGTAAGAGAAAACAAAAGAATATCGAGAAAGGCAATTCAATTCAGTTCCCCAGATTAAGACATCAATTTTCAAATTAAAGATACTGAGTAAGTATCTGGTACAACAGAGAAAGTGGACCCACATGTAGGCACGTCAGTGGGAAAGGCTAGATGCCAGACACTAAAAAAAGGCCCCAAACGCTTCCAAAGTCACAACATGGGTCACAGGTATCAGATCAAAGAATCAGCTGCTGATCTGATTTCTTAATAGCAACACAAAATAAAGAAACGATGGCAGTCACAGTAGGAAAGTGAGCACAATACGGCTAAGGTGAGAACAAAAATTATGTAATGACAAAGAAACAAGCAAGCGCAGCAGACGCAGTAGTTAAGACGCAGCAGATAATGACTACAACCAAGGAAGCAGCGGCAACATGACACACGCATTATGCAGAGCACAAGGCTTAAAGAACAAAAGAAGCAAGGAGCTGGAGAGAGGCCCACAGCAACGCTTTATTTTCCATAACAGGCTCTGTACAACGGTCCCTGTGTTCACGTAAGGTTCTGATTAAAGTAAAACACAGCTGAGCATGGTGGCACTCACCTATAATCCCAGCACTCAGGAAGCAGAGGCAGGAAAATTATCTCAAATTTGAGGCCGGCCTGAACTATACAGCAAGACTCCATCTCAAAAAGTACAGTTTTCTTACCTGGATCACCTAACTTGTGTGACATTTCATTCAAGGTCTCTATCTCCTCCTCTTTTGGAGCGTGGATGACCATCACTGTAGATCCTAGAATACTCAGCAAACACCCAATTTTCCCATGAAGATTGAGTCTTTCATTGAGAAAGTATGAAGAAAGAATGGCACTAAAATGGAAAAGAAAGAGGACTGAGAACTTTATAAGCAGCTGCTGCCTCCACTTACGAGCATCAGCACTCACAGTTTATATTACTAAACCCACACTAACCACTGTGATTATGAAGATTCTAACTTTCTGGCAAAATAAAATGTACATTAGACAATAAAATGAGTCACCTGCTTCATCAGGTACCAACCCTATATATTTACCATCTTTCCTTCCAAGAAACTTACAATATGTCCTACTTACTTATGTCCTAATTAGAAATCTATATCCAAACCAATGCCTAAAAATTGTTCAGCCTTTCCCTATAAGTGGATGCAACCCATTTCATGCCCATTTAATGTAATTATACAATTTGCCTCTTAATTATCCTGTTATTTACAAGTACTGAGTTCAGAACAGAAGAAACTAGATGCTGTGAGGGCATTTAATTATTGATTTCCCTAAGTTATGAGCTCAGTGCAGTGGACTCTCGGCTTGAACTCAGTCCCCAAGCATACTGTGACTCAAGTTTGTCCTCAGAGCCTTCCCAGTCTCTCTCCTTACACAAGTGGGTCTCAGTGCTCCTAGGGACGGTGGCCTGGGGTTTCTCGGTGAGGCCCAAACAGGAAGGGTGCTATAATGTTCCTTCCAGAACTTTCTGAGGGTTACATCTGTGTCTGAGACCATCTGGAAGCACAGCGGCTGGCATCTGGGTTACAACTCAAGACTTTGGTCGTAAGTTGAATCTCAAATTCCACTCATTACTCAAGTTGTTAGACCGGTCACAACTCGAGGGTCCACTGTAACACCTGTTTTAGTAACAGCTTTATCTAAGCCAAGAAAAAAATACAGAATCAATTTGTATTTAAAATGAGGGAATAATAAAGATCATGATCTTATTTTGTATGTACTTCCTTGAAAAAAAGCATTGACTACATAGTCAATAGCCTTTCAGAACAGTGGCCCAAATGGATCTCCAAATGGGCTTGTTGTTTAAATACTGAAGACGACCGAACTGAATGCTGCTGTAAGCGACCTCCCCGGGCAGGCAGGGCCACGCAACCCTCACCAAAATGTGCACAGACGGACGACAGAAGATGAGAAAGGGCAACTGGAGTCTCCAAACATCAGAGCCACCCATAAGCCAAAGAACACCCTCCCCACTGATCAGCAGCTTGCCTGCGCGGAACACAGCGCTAAGTGTAAACAAAGGTCCCGAAGGCTGCTGAGACACAACTACACTCACGCGTTAACCACACTGAGGCTGCTTTCCGTAGCAAAACACTCCCGACTGCTCCTGCACACAAGTGTGTCCTTACCTTACGAGGACGCTGAGCGCTCCCAGCGGGGTCACCAGCGTGGCTGGGGCAAAGGCATACGCAGCGAAGTTGGCCACCTCTCCAGCTCCCACTGCGAGATGCACAACAGAATCTCAGGAAGTGTTTGATTCTGGAAATGTCTGCATGTATGCAACTTACATATCAAGTTCTGTATTTTCTCCTATTAATAAGGATCACAGTTCTGTGAATTATCAGCATTGAGTATCCAAAAGTCTATCGGAATCAACACAAACATAATCTTAATTGAAAACACTGAATTTATGTTTACTTGATGGTGTTTTCTTCAAAAAATTAAGTAGATATTTATATCCTACACACATACACAAATCAATTAAAAGAAGCCAAAACTGATACAAAGGTATCAGTAAGTCTTTTCCAGTGGCCCTCCTTTTCAAGATGTGTTAATGTGTGTGATATGTAATAATTACATTTGTTTAGGGAACTGATAGTTTGTATGACATCTATCACTGGCTCTTTTCAAATAAACTCAACTTACAAGGTATAAGTAGGATCACAAACTGTGGGGAGGAGAAAAACAACTCTCAAATTTACATTTTAGTGAGGAAAGATCAAATACATATGTCAAATAGTTTAAAGTGCCATTAAGAAAGCTTTAGCCAGAGGAGGGAAAGCACGCTGAGGGGGGAGGCGCCCTTCTGCAAAGCGAGTGTCAGAGGAAATGTGAGGGGTGGAGGTGAACCCCACTGGCACCAGGGTGGCTCCCACTGGAGCAGCCAGGCGGCAGCAGCCAGGAGGCCGTGGGAGCCATGGCCACAGCTCAGAGACGCAGGTGCCGCTTTTACCCAAACAGTAAGACTGCCTCAAAAAGGGAGGGACCAACCCTGCAGGTCTACTAGCTTGTTCGTTTTCTCTTATTAAGGCAATTCTTTATGCTTTAGGTAGGAACCTTTTCTTCATTAACACATACCAATTATTTTTTCAGACGTAATAAACTCAAGATCAAAATAAGGTTTGGGGGATTTCTGTATTTTTCTTTTACAATGCTGAGGACATAAATTCTTTTCTGAGACAAATTCCCACTATGTTCCCCAGGCTAGCCTCAAACTCACTATGCTGTGCAGGCTGGCCGTGAAATCATAATCCTTCTGCCCCAGCTTCCCAAGCATACAGTGCTATACCCAGCTCGGGATCATCAATTCTTTCTCCTCCCCCTTGGGTGTTTTATTGTTGAGACAGGGTCTCACCATGTAGCTGAGGCTGGCCTTCAACTCTCTATGTAGTCCAGGCTGGGCACAAACTCTGCCTCAGCCTCCTGAGTGCTGGGATCACAGGTATGTATCACCACGGCCTGGGATCATAAATTCTTAATTTCAATGTCACATCTTAAAATATTTCCTTCTGCAGTTAGTGTTTTCTACAACTATTTTTAAAATATTTTTCTGCACTTTTTACTAACTAAATTCTCTACGTTCCTCCCTTTCACATTTAGACTTACGGACCGTCTGACGCTGACTATATCTATAACTATTTTTAAATTATTTTTCTGCATTTTTTACTTGCTAAATTCTCTAGGTTCTTGCCTTTTACATTTAGGCTTTCGGACTGTCTGAATCTGACTTTATGTGCAGAGCGTAACTAACTTTCTTCTTTTCCCTATGGGATATTCCAACACCACTGAAGAGTTTTTTTTTTTTCTTCTTTTGTCTTTTTGAGACAGAGTCTTGCTAGGCAGTTTGGGCTGGTCTCAAACTCACTCTGTAGCCTGGGCTGGTCCCAAACTTGCAACCATCTTCCTGCCTCATCTCCCGAGTGCTGGGATTACAGGCGTGTGCCACCACGCCCAGGTGAAAAGAGTTTCTTAATGCGTTTGTGGGTCCGTTTCATCATTCTTCGTGCTATTCTTCATTTCTCTATCTCGGCAAAGAGGCAGACTAGTTTAGTCAGTGTAGTTCTGAGTAAGTCTGAGCCTACATAGCAGGGTCTTTCACCTCTGTGCATTTTGGACTTACGAATTTTTTTATAAAAGTCAGTTTTATTACCTACCATAAAACAATCTAGCTTTGAATGGGTGACACTGATGTGTAAGGTAGTATGAAACATATGTCAACTTTATAATACATTATACGATCATTCCACTAAAATACAACTGTTCATGACAGAAAAGCCATTGTAAGTAAGTAATTTAAGCTACCTAATAGTACAAAGGGTTTCTAACAAATCCCAAGACAATCACAGTGACACTGCAACAGAGACACCTTGCAGGCTTGCCTTGGAGCTGGGAATAAGCAAATGAACCCTATTCTTTACACAGTGTTTTATCAGGGTCTGGCCAGCACGACCAGACAAGGGTGGAAGGCGCAGGCGTGGGAAGGTATGCAAACTGTTAGCCAGATCACAGACTTGTGGGTATAAAAACTCCAGAGAATACACAGATGAACTACACACAAAGATTTGGCAGTGTTATTGAATACAAAATCAACATGCTAAGCCTAGCCGTAAATTAGTAAGTTAAAAAATGAAATCTTCAAATAATACCACCTGCATACAATTTTAAAATTACAAATAGTTAATTATAAACAAGAAAACATGAGGAAGATACCCATTTAAAAAACTAAAAGGCCAGGTGTAGTAGTGCATTCCCGTAAACCCAACACTCAGGAGGCCACGGCAGGAGGGTCACTATGAGTCTGAGGTGAGGCCAATGTGAACTACACGTATTGTGAGACCCTGTCTCAAAAAAGTGAAATTTGTTAACATGATAAACGACAAGATCAGCTCCCTAAATCTGCGCTAACTGTGCATTCCTAGAATAAATCTCACTTGCTCACAATGTATTTTATTTGGGTTATTTCCTCATATATATTCATTGGTAAGACTAGACTGCAAAAGCCATGTGTGGTGGCACAGTTCCTACAGAGGTGAGGCTCGTCTCAGCCTCCCGAGTAGCCGGGATTACAGAGTAAGTGTGCACCACCACACCCAGCTCCGTGTCACCTTCTGATGCACACGGAACCTGCTCTGTGACACACAGTGCTCTGCCCCCTCAAACTCTCCGCCCTGGCTCCTGGGAGCCCAGGCTCTCAGACTCCTCCTGGGACCCTGGCTGCGCTTCGCTGCCTCTTTCTGAACTCTAAAGGGATCTGGCTCTGTGTGGTCTCATCCTGGCTGCTTATTCCACCCGCTCTCATTTCTTACATGATCTTACCCAGGCTTGTGACTTTAAATACGAACAGTGATTCACTAACTGGTCTCTCCAGCCTGCACCACGTGGCAGATTCCAGACCTAATGATCAGATTCTTTGTGGCTCTGCTTGGACAGTTCGTAGGAGCATCACCCTCTAACAGATGCACACCCAACCTGATACCCTCCTTCCCCCCGTAGGTCCTGCCTGCAGTTTTATCAGCCGGTTAACAGCCTTCAGTTCCTGGTCCAACGTTTCCAGGTCTTCCTTGGCCCTTCTCTTTCACTCCCTATCCTCTCATCAGTGAGCACATCTCCTCAGCTCCACCTTGAAAACACATTAGCACTCTTCACCACTTTGTGGTCCATGCTTTCCCCGCTTACCCAATTACTCTAACAGCTCCATAACTGCTTCTGCCTCCAGTGTGCACCTCAACACAGCAGAGCCCGTGAAAGCCTGCATCAGACCATGGCACTGTGCTCAGCCAAGCTTCCAGCAGCTTCCCATGTAACATAAAGTTAAAACCCTTGCTGCCTCCTACAGAGCCTTCGCGGCTTCTCTGAACTCAAGTCCTGCTCCCCCGCCTCGCTCTTACTGCTTTCATTTCCTCTTTAATGTTTTCTGAAGTCTCAGTATTCTAATGTCACAGGAAAAAACCACCTAAAATTGGCAGTTTTAAATGACTGTGCGGGGATGGAGAGGGGCCTGGGGATGAGGGGGACAGGACAGAACGGGGAGGGGGGGAGTAAAAGGATCAAGATGCTATTTGTACACACACCAGCGACCATCATAGCTGTGTTCATTATGTACAGCAAAGAGACGCCAATGTTTTTGAAAGGGAAAGAATGCCAGTAACTTCACTCTCACAGTGTCTGTGGGTCAAGACTTTGGAAGTCAGGGTCCGTCACCCGTGAGAGAGCTGCAGCCATCAGAAGCTGGGCTGGCAGGGGGTGGTCACCCCGTAGGACTCCTCCGGCCCCCATGCCTCTGGTGATTCGGTCTCGGAAGGCACACACCCTCATTCCCCAGGTCTCCTGTTGCCACTCTGGGCCAGCAACAACTCGGAGGGACCGCACTATGCTCTGAAACGCAGGAGGCAGGAACCACGGTGGGGCCACCTGTCACACGCTAACCACTGAGACACAGTCCCTTCCACTGGCTTCACAGTCATCATCCTCTTGTTTCAAATGTTGTTCTACCCGCATATTCATACGGACAGATTCCTCGTGTCCCTGATATCTTTTACTCAGGTACTGTAAGTCTTCAACTTACGAGTTCTGCTCAAGGAGAACATTCGTGAGTCAGATTTGTCCATGCCCTGGAAAGGGAGTCCAATACAGTACCCCTATGGAAGTTCACAACTTCAGTGTTCCAAAGTCAGGGATTTACCACACTATCTTAAGTAAGCAAGACTTGCCTATTTAAAATGTTAAACCCACCTAGCCTTCATTTTAGATTTTCTGTCCCACCCTTACTCCTTCAGCTTAGCATTTCCTCCCACGCACACATGCACACAATAACCTGTTTGCCATCTGCCTCCCACCTACAATGTACGTTTCAAATGGGCAGGGATTTTGTAGGTCTTTTTCCCTCCCGGCCCTAGAACACCACCAAGTCCACGGGCCGATCAATATGGGCTGGGATGCGGCTCAGTGGCACAGGTCCTGGCGAGCGTACACAAGGCCTTGGGGTCAATACTCCAGCAGCAACAGCACCACCACCAAAATAAAGGACATCAACACACATCTGCTGAACAGTCAAGATTCAGTATTCAAGAACAACTTTTTCCACAAGCCTTTTTAAAGTAATCATCAAAATAGCATAGACAGTCTTATCAAATATACAGAGGGAAGAACTGAAAAAATCACGTTTTTCTTTGAGCCTTCATTTTTAAAATTACCTTTTTCAGTATTTAAAAGAGCAAGACATATTATGGTAGCCATTTTGGATTTACTATTGGCTTGTTTTGAATTTCTTTATTGCTTTCATTGTTTTGTTTTTATGTTTCTATTCCATGTCTGAAGGTATCTGTAGCTATTTTGAAGTTATGGTAACTATTGTTGATTTCATAAGGTTTTGAAGTCCTATATCACTTATACTGGTTTATTTCTATTGGTTTATTCTCTTTTATTTTCCTTGGTTTTATCCTCTTTAAAATTAAAAAAAAAATTACCTGTTTCTTCTTTTCATTTTGTGTTGTACTGGGAAGTCAAACTCTGGTTCTTGCACATGCTAGGCAAACACCGTATCACTATACTACAACACAAGGCCCAGAATTAACTTTTTTGCGGGGGTGGGTCCCAGGAATTGAATTCAGGACTTCATGCTTGCCAGGCAGGCGCTGTGCTACTGAGCCAAATCCCCGGTCCAAAATTAACTTCTTAAGCAAAGCTGAATTTTTAAAAAATGCACAACTATATCAAACATAGCTTTACCAGGTGGGTGAAACAAAGTCTTGTCATCCAAATCAAGCTATTAAACTGCTGAGTTACTTTCTCAGGTTTAAAGATATTTTCAGTTTTACTCATTAAAACAAGAGTTCCCAGTAGTTTAAAACCTACTAGTATTGCAAGCTACAACATCATCTGCAAATACTTTAACACACAGCTCTAATAGTCTCTTGGAATGTTCTCCATACATACTTGACAGCAGTCCAGCCCACCACAACCATTCTTTAAGATACGCATGGCCACCTTGACCTGTGGATAAAGAAACGTTTCACTTCTTTGGAAGATCAGGCTCATGTTAATTACAACCACTATTAGCAATGACAAATCTTAAAATATTTAACATGTTGACTTATAAATAAAGATATCTACATGATTCTATAATGCAATTTCTTAGATATTACTTTTATGATTGCCTTAGAAAAGGGATGTGAGGGGGGCTGGGGATTTAGCTCAGCGGCATAAGCGCCTGCCTTACAAGCAGGCAGTCGTGAGTTCGATCCCCAGTACCGATAAAAAGGAAAAAGACAAAAAAAAAAAAAAAAAGAAAAGGGGATGTGAGGACCATGAGTGTTAACAATGTATTATATTCTTGAGAAACAGAACTCGATCCTTATATTTAGCTTTTATTTCCTCCTTTTAGTTTATGAACTCAAGTTCAATGTAAAGAAAATGAACCAATAAAAAGTAGCCCAAGCTCTCCAGAAGACTGAGACAGGAAGATCAAAAGTCTGAGCCTGGCCGGGCTACACAGTGACTTAGCAAGACTCTTTCTCCACATACAAATAAAAGAGCTGGGGATACAGCTCATTGTGAAGGCCCCTGGCTTCAATACCTGTACGCAAAAAATAAAAAACTTTTAAACAGTAGCAGCAAATGAGTCAGTGTGCCCAGGTAAGCCTGGGTGTGCACAGCCCTTGACACAGAGACTGCAGCCCCAGCAAGGCAGAGAGGTGCTCAGCTCAGCCTCGGGAGCTGCCAGCACACTGGGCTTCGTCTTCTGTGGCTTGCCTTAAAGTGGCCGCGTGAATAAAGTCAGAAGACAGTCTACACCTGAAGCACTGTCCAAAAGAAAACAACTAAGTGAATGAATCCTTCACAAGCACAGGCTGTAAGGACAAGGAGGAAGGACTCAGGGTCAATAATGAAGAATTGGCAAACACAAGTCTTTACTCTGGGCCCGGGATTTAGCTCAATGGCATAAGCCCCTGCCTGGCAAGCCCAAGGTCCCAAGTTTCATCCCCAGTACCAACAAAACAAAACAAAACACAAAAAACTTCCTCCTCTGTCCAGTAAATGCCAACAGTGTCTGCTGTCGTGTGTTTTAACGCCGGTGAATCAGGTCTGAGCACAGAGATGGCAGAGAAGAGAGAAAGCAATCATGTGTACTGCCACGTGGGCCTACTCGTGAGGTTCCCATCAGGCCGAGGACGAGGCAGAGGCGGGAGAACGGAATCACCCCGTCACACTGAAAGCTTCAGTAAGACTGCGGTTCTCTTCAGCAACCCTCTGTGCACAGGAGAAACTGAAAGACACATCTGGATGCTAATGTGGCACTGCTAGCTGCTCCCACTTTGGTTGTAACATGAGGACTGAGCCGTAACTCCTGACACCTTTTTATCCTTCTCAATATAGATTATGTGTCTATAAACATTTATAACACTTGCATCGTCCAAAGGTTCCAGTGCACTCCCAAGAAGCACACAGGCGGCCTTCCTTCAAGGACCCAAGCACGGAGCTCACACGGACGTCCTTTCAGAGCACAGAAGGCAAGCACACCTACCTGCTCTCATGGAGCCCTTCCGGGCAAGGCGCAGAAGGCCCTTCTTCTTCAGAATGAAACTCCCTCCAATGAAAATGCTGGAGGTCATAGCCAGCCCCAAACCAATGTAAAAGTCATACTTTCCACGCCCCGGGCTCATTTCGTTTGTTACGTAAGAAGTTCCTGGGGATCACACTGATGATCACAGAACACAGCAACTGCTGGCATCTACAGAGAGTTTGATGTCATCTTCGAATCTAGAAACACAAAATAAAATAATATTTTTATAGAATGACTGTCACAGCTTAGATGCAATTCAAAATTTTACTTCATTTCTCTTTTAAAAGGAAAAATATTACTGTGACTGACGATAAGGTTTTTTCCCTTGAGACAGATTCTTGCTATTGCAGGGGGTGGGAAAGTGCGAGCCCCAAACCCAGCAGAGTGTAGGCTGCGAGAGGAGGGAGCTTCAGGGGTGGTCAGGACTGGGGATCCTGCCAGCAGAGGCCGTCAACCTGCTGATGGACAGCTGACGGGAGGCGCGGGCTAGACAGCCAGGAGAGCAGCCACGGCCTTGGCGGGTGGGTATAGCCCAACAGAGCAGTAACTGAACAAGCCAGGCAGCAGGGATACAAATTCTAGATACAAATGTGAAGGCGACCAGCAGGAAGCATTCCAGGGTGGCACAGCACAGACAACCACCGCACACAACCACATTAGGAACTGCTCCGGAAAAGGGAGTTACATTAGCAGCAAATGACCCATATAAATCTCACCCACATCAATTAGTTGCAGAATGCTGAGATGGCTAAAAGCAGAATTTGGACAGGAACACAGACCTTTGTGGTTTCAAAATTTGGTTTTCGAAGTGTAAAGAAAAAGGAAGGGTCAGGGATTGAGCTCAGAGGCATAAGCACCTGCCTTGAAAGCGTGCGCTCATGCGTTCAACCCCTGGTACCAAAAAAACAGAAAAGAAAGAAAAAAGAAGTAAAAGCAGCTGCATGATGCTGAAGGTTGGGCCCTCAATGTGATGACACTGTTTATAACTTTTTCTTCCTGGTGAACATGATGGTTTAACAATGTGCTGCGTCCTGTTGCCTCTAACCCAATTTATGACAACTGTGCCCCAAGTACTGGAGAATTAAGGATCTGTCATGCAAGCAAGTAGGGGGGTCTCGCGCAAATGAAATATTTTTACTTTGTGACAACGTTCAGCCAGATGACCTAGAAGCTGGTGTGGTGTGAACCAGAAACAAACCACATCTTTTCACCAAGTGAGCATGGTGGAGTGCTACTGTTCCCAGACTCCTCCACCCTGCAAAGCTGCAACAAAACCATTAACAGTAAAAATGCAGCAGCAGGGGCTGGGGATTTAGCTCAGTGGCATAAGGCCTGCCTTGCAAGCAGGCAGTCGTGAGTTCGATCCCCGGTACCAATAAAAAGGAAAAAGACAAAAAAAAAAAAAAATGCAGCAGCAGAGACCTTCAGAGCAGGGAGTCAGTGAGCCATGGCTTTTAGGGATCCCACAGATCAAAAAGATACTTAAGGCAATAACTCAAAGAAAAAACAACCCCGTTTTTACAGATATTTTGGCAATATGTTACTGTTCTAGAGAGATCAAGATCCAACAGACTTAAAACAGCTCTGTCCCCTCAGGGTCAAATGGAAAAGGAAGACTCATCAAAAAAGAATCACACTATACCAGGGATTTAGCTCAGTGGTACAAGTGCCTGTCGGGCAAGCATGAGGTCATGAGTTCAATCCCCAGGACCAAAAAAAAAAAAAAGAAAAGAAAAGAATCACAGTTGTCTCATACAGCAGAGTGCAGTAGAACCCCACCATCCCTCACCAGTGTCCATCTCAAGGGGACTGTGACTTCACGCTTCATCATTCTGCAAGCTGGTCACAGCCCTGTGCCCCACCTCATGCTCATGCTCACTCAGTACAAATCCAGAGTTGCTTTGTTTTTTTGGTGCCAGGAATTGAACTCACAACCTGATAGTTGCCATGCAGGTGCTGTGCTGCTGACCTGTATCCCTGGCCTAAGTCACTTTTCAACTTTTACCCAAATCCTCTGCATATGGTTTTTAAAAGTATAACTTGTACAACCTAAATCTTTTAGCATGTTCATGATTATTTTGGTAGCATCTATACAGATGCAGCATTCCATACCTAATAAAAAACAAAACACAAAGCTATTTCTGTTTATGAAACTGCTTGTTCACAAAAACATAAAACTAGCAATAACTGAAGGAGAGATGCAGTCCTTTTATACAATGGAGTACTACTCAGCTGTAAAGAAGGATAAACTGGAGACTTTTATAGGTAAATGCATGCAACTCAGGCCCATACTCATATGAAATAAATCAGACTTGCATGTGTAAACATATTGTCTCCCCAGTGTGAGAAGCTTAAAGAAATTTTATATATAATATAAATATATAAAATGGTTATACTACCAGTCTCTCTTATTTCATTGATAAGAAAGGTTTGTGCTAATATTACTTGGATAAGTAAATGAAGGTATCTTGTACTTTGAGTAACTAAGTTAAAGATAACAATATAAAATGGACTACCACTGTTACCCTCTAATTATCTTGTTTTGAAATTTTGTTTCATTAAAAAAAATTTTTACCCAAGCATGGTGGCACATGCCTACAGTCCCAGCACTCAGGAGGCTGGGGCAGGAGGATTGTTATGAGTTCGAGACCAGCCTGGGCTACAAAGTGAGCTCAAGGCCAGTCTGAATTGCATAGTGAGATCCTGTCTCAAAAAGACAAAAACAAATAAATAAAGTCTTAGATATGAATAGAATTCATAAGCATTTTCACTTAGGTGGTCTCATACAACTGCCTGCTTGATTTCTAGAAATCTAATTAAAGCTCAAATTGAAGGGACTGGGGATTTAGTTCAGCGGCATAAGCGCTTGCCTTGCAAGTATGTGGTCGTGAGTTCGATCCCTGGTACCGATAAAAACGAAAAAGAAAAAAAAAAAAAGCCCAAATTCAATACATCCAAACCTAAATTCTTCATCTTTTCTCCCAAACTTCCTTCTCCTTCAGTCTCATCATCCTTGATCCTGTTACCTTCATATCCAATTCATCCGGAAGAATCCATCTTAAGTGAAAGGTTTACACTTTATACTGCTGAGCTGGCAACAAGTGGGGTCCAGCTAATTCCTGACATGCTCTCAAGGCATGTTTCTTCTTGACTCAGTTCAAAGTACTTGATTGCTTTTTAACTGTGCTAATCTCTTCAGGTAACATACGTCCTTTGGCCCCAACTTTACACCTGGTTTTTTTTCCAACCCACCTTTTCCAGATATTTCAGCTCTGCTTTTTTGCATCCAGTTTTCACTTACAGATCTGGCAAAAAGTAGTCAGCAGCACTCATAACACTGCCTAAACATTGGGCTGCTTTGAAATTTCGACTACCAGATCAATTGCTCTATCACCCTCAAACTCAGCCTCCTCAGGACATGAACAAAATATAGACCAATTTTTTTTCTGATGAGAGAGTATAATGTGTATGACTGTTCATACAAATCTTCAAGAATCCTTGCTCCTGTCTGAAACCTCAGGAGCACAGCATTAACTCCCTACATTCTTATTAACATTCTGGTCTAGCACTCTGGCTAGAAGCAGCCATTGGGCTTTGCTTAAAGTATCCCAGTGTTCCTCTGACTCATGTCCTCAAATATTTCCAAACTCAGCCACAAGTTCAAAAGGCTTCTGAGAAGCACAGCACCAAGTATACTTGTTATAGGCAGCTGAGACAGAATATCATAGGCAGTCAGATGTGGCTAGGCCAGTGCACAAGACTAGATACCTTGCAATTATGAGGGGGAAACAAACACTTAAACACTCCCTACTGTGGGCCAGACCTCAAAACAAAGACAAAGGATGAAACAAATGTAGCCACATCCTAAGGATAACATCAGGGATTGACATTCTATTGGGTATCATGTTGAGACCTTTGATCACCTTGAGGAAGCCAAGAGCTACTAACCCAAACCCTACAGGCAAAGGCCCTGTTAAGCAGCCCCTGGCCCAGAGAGGACTGGTGGGATCTGCTTGGGCTGAGCCACGCCCCTGGTTGGGACCCAATAGCCAAGGATGAAACGGTCAGGATCCTGTGACAACCACCACAGCACAGCCTAAGTTGCCGAAGGCACTCGCCAGTTGACTGATTTAGAGAAAAGTGGTTAGCCCACAGTCCCTGCATGCACCTCAGATAACAGCAAACTGGAGAGGGCAGCAAAACCCCAGTCAGCACACTTGGGAAAAACCATAAGCAATACGGAGAGGGCCTGAAACCTCCATCGTACACCTGTCTGAAGAGATCAGAAACATGACTAGAGACACTCCTGCCGCTGACCCTGGGAAAATAAGCCCAGGAGAGGTAAATACAGAAGAGAACCAGGGCAGCAATCATGCAACATTAGCCAAACATCAGCGGACATAAAGAAATGCCTTTGTGACCTCACAGATGAACTTAAGGCTGATATTCTAATCTAAGTGAGGCAAGATAGAAAAAGATTAAAGAAATGCTAAGCCCCTCCCAAGAAAACACAGATGGAAGTATGGAGGAACCCAGAAAAGGAAGAGAAACCTTTGGTGAAGAATATAAACAAAATCTAGAATACATGAAATAGATCCAAAGGGATTACCAGGAAATTAACTCCATTGAAAGCTGGCAAAATGCCTTGACAGAAACTAAAGTTAGCCCTTTAAAATTTGAAGATAGATTTGCAATGTGTGATCATGAAAGAAAAGATCTCTTAAAAATAATGAGGAACCAGGAAGTAACAATACAAAGGCTAGAAGACGACAAGAGGATCTATAACTTAAGAATAAAAAACGTGAGCAAAAAAGCAGGAGTAACCACAAATGAATTACAAAGACTATTCACCGAAATAATTAAGGAAACTTCCCAAGCCTAGGAAAAGGAAAGGATATCCAGATAAATGAGGCACACAGAACTCCAACCAACTACAACCAAAACAGATCTACACCCAGACATGTAATAATCAAGATCCCAGAAATCCACAAGAATAGAATATTAAAAGCAGTCAGAGAAAAGAAGCAGATTAAGCTGGCCGTGGTGGCTCATGCCTGTAATCCCAGCACTGGGAGGCTGAGGCAGGAGAATTGTTGTGAGTTCGAGACCAGCCTGGGCTACAAAGTGAGCTCAAGGGTAGCCTGAACTGCACAGTGAGAGCCTGTCTCAAAAAAAAGCAGATCACCTACAAAGGAAA